CTTCCAGTAGTTTCTTCACAGCCATGTACTGATCACGACTTAGCCGAAGGCTCAAGGAGATCCTCCTGTGAGCCAGATCTTGAACTAACTCTCTCAGTCTCCCCCTCTTTCTCTCTCCCTCACATCTCTCTTTCTCTGCCTCTCTCTCTCTCCAGCTCTCTTCTCTCTCTAGTACTCTGTCCTGCTATCTCTATCCACCATGCCTTCCCTGGATTCCAGCTCTGTCTTCTCAACTCAGAGAGACCACTGGGCTCCACCTGGGTTCCCCCTCCCCATGCTGCATTCTGGAAACTCTCTCCAGGCAGCAAGCTGGGGAAACCATAAGGCTCACCTCGTCTGTTTGCCCTCTCTCAAGGTTCATTGTCCTGAGCTACCTGATATCCATTTTTAAAAACCCATTGCTTCTATATTTTGTGTGTTCATCTTTTTCAGGCAGGAGGGTAAATCTGATCCCCATTAAGCCATTTTAGCTGAACTTGACCAGGGGATTAGGCCTGATCCAAGCTAGCCAGTTGGGTTCTCACTCCTGGAACTGGGATTCTGCCATGTGGACACTGTGGACTAAGAATGCCACCTGCCACATCAGTAAACAAAGGATGCCCGGCCATCAAGCCATCAGCCGCTGCAGTCACGCCCAAGGGTGCACCCTGAGGAGACTCAAGATGGATGAAAACAGGATAGCAGCCCTAGTTAGCTGAGGTGCATATCAAAGGAATGATTTCAATGAGCCCAGAACTTTGCATCTTCCCATACACAGAAAAGCACTAAATTCATTAACTTGAGATGTCTAGTTTCCTTTAATTAGCAGTAATCTTTTGATGTTCCGATTACCTGGTTTTTGTTACAAAACTCCTTTATATCCTGGCTCTTCCCTTCCCTCTTCAGAGTAGTGCCTCAGAGCCACCTGAGAGTCCTGTCTCCTAGGCTTGACGTCCTCAGCAAATCCGCTGAATAAAACATAACTCTTAACTTTTAGCTTGTACATTTTCTTCAGTCGACAACAGGAAGCCACAAGAAGCTAGTGTACAGGAAAGAGAAAAATGAAGCAAAGAGGAGCAGCAAAGAAGGGTGGAAGGAGTGCTGATGGCTTTGCAATACTCGTTCAAGTCCTTTCCTGAGACCCATGGCATTCCTACCATTGGGTTTTTTTTAAATTATTATTTGAAGTCCTATTTTCTGGCTAAAGTGCACTCAAGTTGGATTCTACTACCTGCAACCAAAGGGTTCTAACTCAAACAGCATGTCTTCAGGCAAAGTTGATGGAAGAGGAGGGCAGTTGAAAAGGAAAAACTGAAGCTCTTTAAATAATGCAACAGGTTCCCTTGGAAAGGGGAGCAATAGGCAGCACAAGTGGACTTTTCTTCTTGTTGTGTGAGAGGAAAATAAATTTTGAGAGGAAGAATTTTGAGGAGATCATTGTTTTTCTGAACAATGATCTTGTCTCAATAAAACGTACAGAAATCTTATTGGAGCGTGAAATAACAAGGTGGAATTTGAGTGCTTGAGAGAAGGGGAAAAAAAAAGATTGAGAGTAAACACTGGGAAACATCCCGGAGGACAGGCAGAGTGGGACAAAAGGATTGGGTGCGTCGTTGAGGGCCCAGTTAATGGTTAGAGATCATAGCTTGCTGGTAGAACTACCCTGTTTGTTCATGTGATTTTCTCTAACAATGAATGTTCAATAGCCCAGGAACAGGAGCAGAGAAATGGGCTGCAGGATTTGTCAGGATGGTTCTCTAACCCATAATGCCTCTGCAATCACAGCAGGGCCTTAGCCTTTTCCAAGCCCCTGAAACATACAGAAACACACAGAGGAAGGTATGCCCACAGCTGCTAGTCTCTACCAAACCTAGAGCACTTGAGACCTCTGAAATTCAAGCAAACAAAGGAGCATTTTAATGCCTGAGGCTCAAGGGTAGTGTTAAGACTGTGACTTTCAACAAAACCAGTTCAGAAATGCATATCCCTTGCTTGACTTGCCTGCTGTGTGGTCCCATGTGAACCGGTCCCCAGCTCTCTGCCTCCAGGCTGGGGGAGCTCTGTCAGGGAGTGGGAATGAGACTGGCCCAGCACCAAAAGTTAGCCATACATTACATCTTTTATTTTCTTATATCTCACTGCTTCTCAACCAAGGTGGTACTCCCCTTTGGAGAGTCTTTAGGACATATTCTGGAA